TAATGTACAATGGATATGGCTTACACACATGAATTCTTACAGTTTCTAAAATAATAGGCAAAATGATTTAAAAAAAACCAGATGACATGCATAAAAGCAAAATATTTATAAACTATGGCCCAATTTAATAAAAATCAAGCAGGCTTCCAAAAATATTTCCAGGTTGTTCCGCAATTTAAACATTTCCACATACTTAATAATAATGATGAATGTTTTAATGGCAAAATTAATAATTGCTTCTTCACATTTCTTCATGTGAACAGCACATATGCAATAGTAATCATTTTGAAACTATATACTAAGCCATAGTCAAATAAAGTTTCTGACCATGCTTGAAGGCTATTAATGTGCTAATAAACTTTGTTTAAACTTTTGCTCTGATGAAACATTTCTCTATTTCTCACATACTTCTCTTGCTAGCTGATAACACAAACTGCTTTTGAAAATCCACTTTCAAAAAGTTTTGATGCAGTACATACAAATATGATTGTACCTGTAGAGACTTGGAATTTAGGTGGGATTACAATTATAAATAATCCTTTTCCTATGACACTGAATCATACATCGCAGCTTGTATTTTATTTGCAATATTTTTCAATGGTTGTAATTAACCTCCTTTTAAAAATTTTACATGGTCAATGATTGCTCACAAAAAAGACCTATTATGGTTTTTTTGGAATTTGGCATCAGAAAATGACTGGCACCTCCAAAAATAAGAAAGAAAATGCCACAAAGTAAAGAGAGGAAAAAGGATTCCTCTAAACAGTGTAATGCTCTAAAACAATGAGCCTATACTGGTGTGTTGTACTATCATTTAAAATGTATTAAAAATAGAGATTATTGTCAGGGATGATTGCAGAGGTGGGTGAAAAGAAAAAGATCAAGACGGCAGCTGCAATCATACAACTGATGCCCTATCTCTCTTGCACGTACACATACAAAGGGGAAAGTTTTAGATATGGCCACCATATTAACTTTTTTATATCTGTTTTGTATTAATCTCTGAGTATTTGGATAAATGCTACATGTGTGTGTGTATATACATTACATATATAAAATATTTATATAAAATATGCTAACTGTATATGCTAATTCAGTTAACATTTTTCATGGGACTATAATTTAAACTGCATTATCCTGATAGTTTTGTATATCAGCTAATCCCACCTATGATAGAATTCTTTCTCATCTGCCATAAAATCTGGGACTAGAGAATAAAATTTTAAAATATTTTATCTTTCTACAAGTTAAGTTGTCATCTTTCTTTAAATAAGATACTTTCTTAAGTAAGAGACTTGAAACATCACTTATAGTAGCAATTGCTTGAAAATGAGTTGCATATAAAGATCTTAAGAAAAACTGTTGGAGTATTTAGTGCATTGTTGCAGTGCTATAAATTTGAAGTGGGAAAAGCCACATCCCAGTGGTTAGTTCTTCAGAACCTGCCCAGCTGAGGTAATTAAACAGTGGCAATCCTGAATAGCCTTTGCTCCCTTCAGCCTACATGTATAGAAAGATTACAGTACTTGGAAGATGACACTGTTTGCTGTTCACATTTTTATGAAAGAAACATATCCCCAAATTGTTTATCTGAGCAAGAAATGCATTTTGTTATTATAATATGTGTTGCTATATTACTACAATTCTGATGAGATACATAATGCAATTTTTTTTCATTTATGAGTCCTTCCAAAATCATTACATTATATGCAAATGTTTACTGATACCTCGTATTCAAGTTTCATGTGTAGCTAGCTCTGTATATGTGCTTTTGCTGCAGGATCTGTGTTTCAGGAATGTACCGCCTTAATAAAAAACTGACTATGCCCTCAATTATTCATTCCCATTTAAAGCAAGCAAAGAATAGGAAACTTACTTCACTGATCTCTCAGTATTATCCAGAATGAGGTGCCTGATGGCATTTTAATGCTATACTTTTGGCACTATAAAGAATGAGAAGCCAATTTCTTATATCTCAAAACAATTTTGATTCCTAAAGCATCATGCAAGCTTCCTACAAAGGTAGAGATTCACAGGCCCCTAAAGCATTTTTAAATATAGTTTAAAAAATATGGTTCTGACATACTATACATAGAGATTTGATCTCTGTAGTTAAAAAAGAGATAAAAAAGAAGGAAATCAGCCTGGAGTTTGATACTTCACAACTTTTGATTGAATTTTGGGTTATTATTCCTCCAAAATTAGTAACTTTCATTTTGTACAACAGTTGGACAACCCCAAGAAGTATCATTGTGTTGCTTGTAGATAATAGAATTTTTGGCTGGACAAATTCATTCTAAATGTTTGAACTGGATGTACGGTACTTCAATTTCTTTGCCAAATTTTCTATTGCCAGATGTCACTGTTTCAAAATGAACGTGAAATCATTCTATTTCTTAAAGAGCACCACTTGTATAAATGATTTCATTTGCAGCAGCTATGAGTCTAATGTAAAACTTACACTAACCTTGTATTTTACACAAAAGGCACTTTTTCCAATTCTGTATTAACATTCACAAATTAATTTCTAAATAAATATTACCTTTTAACATGTAAAAATAAAAATTAATCTTGCATGAATGACAATAGATTAATCAAAAAGTCAACAAATTAATCCTTCATTCTAATCAGTATTTAACTCTAACAGTTTCAAAATTACTGAAATCCTTTAACTTTTATTCAAATGTAAACATTCTTTTAAGCTACCAATAAAGGCTCTTTACAGTATTTCTCGTTATGCTTTCAGTATTTTCAAACAATAGTTTCTAGTGGTCACCCTTGTTATAGACTGTCCTTAATGCTCTTTTAGTTAAACACAAGTTCTGCTTCCAGGGGATCGCAACATGCCACCAACATAAATGAAAGCTTCCACTTTTGGTAGAACATATGAACTTAAAAGAAGAAGCTGGAAATAAATATAGATGGAACTGCAAAAATAACCCAGAAAATGTGACAATATCTTCACATATTTAATAAGGTAAAGTAATAAAAGATTGTTTTTCTTCAAATTCTATTATGAATTTTATATATAAAGCGAAGTAGCAACTTGACTTTGCTCTTACTTCCAGCAAGCAATGTCAAGAACTAGATTTTAAGTCCAGACTTATGATTTACCTTTCTATTGGACTGAAGATCAACCTTTAACTCTAGTGAACCTATGATATACTGTACATTGTATTTTATGAAAATTTTGTATTTATTAAACAGACAGCTCAATGCCTGGATGTTCCTTTACCATATATACTGAAGTTTCTTTTGACTGATGGTACAGTTTGATAAAACAAGTCCTAGGTATGTTTGCTTAAAGGCATTCTCCCAATCTATAAAACACACAAAGCAATGCGTGTTAACTAATGAATGGAGTTGTGTAATCTTGCAAACTTTCGAAAGGGTTTTTTTGTCTAAGAGATTAGGTGTCAGCTTTTCCATATGTTCCCTCTGGTGGTCGGTAGTACTTGGGGAAAGCCATCAGCTGAATCATGTTGAAAGCATACTTTCTGCATTTGATATTCTTCAGGACATTTTCTATGCGGCATCCTTGTCTAGTACAGAGGGGGGAAAAGACAACTTCGTGAAACAAATAATAAATAAATATGTTTTATTTTGTACATTGCAGAGTTTTAGCAACAATTGAAGTAAAAATAACAAAGATAAATCTACAATATATTTTCCACAAGTGATGATACATCTTACAGAATTAGATCCAAGGCCAGGCCAACAGAGTTATTGCCCTCAAAAGTAGGTTATGGGATTTTGAAATATATTTCTTCTCACTGTGGCTTGATTAGATATTATAGTTTATGATATATTTTACTCTAGCATTAGAAATATATTTACTTTAAAATTTCTCTTTTTTTCAGATTGGTTTCCTTTTGCTCATTCGTACATGTTAAAGTTTACATGTAGCTGTAAGTGTGCAGGTTCCATGAGTAAGGCATTTTTTATTACATCTGGCCCTATAAATTTGCAAAGGAAATGTCCACCTTTGTCTCATTTTTAACTTTATGATGAAAGAAAAAAATGGCTTTCTTGGAGCCCAAATCAACTTTCTGTTCTACAAAGAAATGAATGCTGATTCATACATAGTACAAAATTCACAAGAGCCAACAGAGTGCATCAAAATGCAAAGAAAACTTTGTTTAAAACAATATAGACAAAGTTTGTAAAGGAAAAGCAGCAAAAACAACAATTACAAACAGGTTAATTATGTTACACAATGAAAGTTATTGTATGCCATAAATGGCTTGACAAAAAAGAGTTAATTATGCAACAAATAATTAAAAGAAATACTAAAATTATTTGTTAAAACAGAAGGACTCTACTGGCAAGTAATAATGAAAATAGCACACTGAAAATTAATCTTTTGACCTTGCCCAGAACACTCAACTTAATTCTAAATGTCAGTGTGTAAATACTTTCCTCTATCTTCTTATATCTTTTGATCAATAACCACAGAAAAATATATATAATCATGTTGGTAGTTTTATCATTGCATTTTCATACAAGGAACCAATTGTTTTATGTGACTCCTGGCATGAAAACTGCAAAGATAGCATTGTTAAAGGGAATGATTCTATCTAGTAAATTAGAATTTGGCAATTTTCACACCTGAGTACAAATATTATGCTGGGAAAAATAACTATTCCTGCAAATTTGTCCTGAATTAAAATAAAGTGCTGACAATCCCCTAAATAGGAATTTGATTAGAAGGGGGTGAATCATATTTTATGATTAGATCAAATCTGATCAAGAAACCCTAATGTACATTGGCTGTCTTAGAACTAATGAAACATGAAAAAATTTGCTAGAGCTAGGCGGTAGATTAAATCAGTTGAGCATAATATGCTTTCTTGATTCCTGGGAAGAAAAGGAGAATGTATGCAGTTCAAGACATTGGCTTCTTAAGAACTAATCTGAGGGTCCAAGAATGTACAATATAGTACAATGTGTAATTTTAAAGTGTTCTTGTTCTTTAAAAAAGCAACAAACAGAAGTGAACTTTACTGATATTTTGCTAATAGTAAAGCAAGACTTAAAATAAGCCAGACAACCAGCAAGTGAGAGCTGACAAGCAGCAAGGCGACAGGATAGAAGTGACGAGAAGTTGGTTTGTTATCAGTTACACAGCCTGTCTCAGGATCATCCGATTCATTCAGTGCTCCCTGGGTTTGTCTGCTGTTAAACAGGGGAAGTTAGGAACAAATAAGAGACCATTTAATAGGAGAGAAAAGCAATACTTTGGTATTCCAACATCAAAATGGCCATGCAGGATTGCAACTCTATGCTACATAATTCTATTTTGTGGCTTGACCATCATTCTTTTTAAAACCACATGTTAGGGCTATTCTTCAAAAGGAAAAAGAAATATCCAAAATCTCCCATTGGTATTATTTGCCAAATTAAAATTGCATTTGTAATTCAAAAAGAAATAACTCATATTAAAGGAGTAAAATAAATCTGAAATGTCATGAATTGGAGGTAACAAATATATGATTTTCAATATAGGAAAAAAATCAGGGAAAATTACACATGTAACATTGTTTTCAGCATCACCTGGAATTAAAATGGATGAGTAAGATTTGTTTTTATGCTAGTTTGTCTACTTGAACTCTATACACAGATTTTAACTTATCCTGCAACTGCTGGATGTCCTTGAATCATTGACTTCCCATTCAAAATCTAGCCTCATCCTCTTGTGCTGAGATTCATGACAGTTGCACTGTCCCAGTGTCATGTGATCATCATTTGTAACCTTACTAGATAGCTTCTGATAAGCAAAGTCAATGGAAGAAGCCAGATTCACTTAATGATTTATTTAACAATTGCAGTGATTTGCTTAATAACTGTGGCAAAAGGTCATAAAATGGTGCAAAACTACTTAACCACTGCCTTGCTTAGCAATCAATATTTGGGCCCGATTGTGGTTGAAAGTCAAGGACGATCTGCAATTCAGGAAAACTCTAATGAGCTTTTGAAAATTGCAAGTTTTGGAACTTATTTTACAGTTCAGACACTCCTCACTGGGGAATCTTCATGGAGATTTCAGTTATCACCTGCAGGCTGTTAAGTAAGATGTAGTTTTATTGCAAAGTAAGGGAGAAAGCAGTAAAAATATGAAAGAATAAAGAACTAGAAGTAGATTCAATTATTTTATCTTCAAAGAATATACTTTATAAGAGACCATATGCTCCACCTATATTTTGACTAAATTATCATTTTTTATTAATAACATACTTGGATAATATGCTAAAAATAATGGAACCATGTAGGAACCACTGGAAAACAAGAACTTATGTGATAATACATAACATTTCTTAAATTCCCATTCCTACCCAATGATGTCTAGTTTCCAAAAGGAAGAGGCAGTGATTGGCCATTTAAAGAGGAAAAAAAACCCAGCAATTTGTGCTGGTTTCCTTTTCTTGGTCAACAGTCATGAAGATGGATTATCTTAGACTCAGACTGCCATTGGTTATCCCAGATCTATTTATGAAAAGAACATCCACAACTTAGTTCTGGATAAACAAATGGACTTGTGTTGAAACTTTGTTAGGAAAATAAAATTATTCTGTATGAAATATGTTCTCCCAGGTTTTAAGGTGTTCTGTGCCATGATTCTAGGATAGGGAAGTAAGGGTAGCAATGATACTCATGGACACTTTTGCGGTAACCAGGGAACATAAGCTATAGATGACAGGCTGCCTGTATTTGAAGTTAAGCTTTGCAGAGTTGGAGTTCCTGTTGATGTGCTATCCATTTTGCTGCAAGATAGGCTAGCTTTGTGGGCTTCAAGAATTATTGCTCAATTTTTATTGGAATATTACTGGTTATTTGTGCTGAGGAACTTCAATATTTATACTCTAGGAAGGGTGGATTTGTCCCAGGTAATATCTGGCTGACTCATATACTGTAGGTAATCATATATTAGATCTAATTTTCACTTATTTAGGATGCTGTAATTATAACTTTGCTATCTGGAGGCTAATGATATACAGAAATACAATTCTATCCTGGGTTAAGCTAGAAATATGGTAGTTTTAAACCAGTGTATGGAGCCTTAAATGCTGCTGTACCCACACTACTGTATATCCGAATGCCTTGGTGTTATCTGATGAAGCGGAGGACTCCTGAACTCATTATTAGTTCTAGCATGTCAGTAGACAATGAGGACCTGAGAAATTTTAATCAAAATATTTGTGTTTGTGTGTTTACACTATTTTTTAATCTTTTAATCTTTTAATCCCTTTAAGAACAAACTGCAATGTATGTTATATAGGTATTTTTTCAAGACTCAATTTCAAAAATAGAAACTTCATTTGGTACAAATTGCAGTAGCCCTCTTTCTGGCAGTCAAAACAATTACAATCATGTAACATGTAACATTAATTTTACAGGTAATGCACTCAATGCCAATACATTTCCAAATACAATTTAAAGTAACATTCTACCTCAGAGATCCCCATCTTGCAGTACACAGACTGCTACCAGATGTTAACCCATTGGATACTGGGCTGCGCAAGTGGCGGGTGAACATGTAAAGCTCAATTTGGGCATGTATGGGATTAGGTTGCGTGCATGAAACCATCCCCCCTGCTTGCTCCAGGTCTATGGAGCTGGAAAGACTGGGGACCAGTTTCTACCTGACTGAACTAATCTTTTTGGCTTGGCACCTGGATATCTTAAAGATATTATTCAAGAGGACTGGCTCATCCCATTTGTTTGTCATGTAAAAATGGTTTTATTGTTAGTTGCGAAGTCGTGTCTGACCCATCGCGACCCCATGGACAATGTTCCTCCAGGCCTTCCTGTCCTCTACCATCTTCTGAAGTCCATTTAAGCTCATGCCTACTGCTTCAGTGACTCCATCCAGCCACCTCATTCTCTGTCGTTTAACAATTTCTATATGTATGGTTCATTTAGTGCTCTCTTTGTATGTATTTAGAAGGCCATTAAAATGGAGCTACTCTACCAAGCTCTGGATCTGTAAGGGTGTTCTGCTTATGAACACCAGATTTCAGTTGGTGCTTTCTACTTGTTTTTATGTATTTAGTTTGTTGTGCTTATCTTTGGCAATTTCTTGAATCACTTTGAAATTCAGCATTGCAATATACAGTATATAAAATGTTACATGAATAACAACTTAACAAATCATTCCCATTTACACCATAATTGCTGAATTCAAAATTAGATAATTCAAAATACTTCCAGAATACTTATTATTACTCTTAATTTCTTTTCAGTAAGAATCTTTCCAGTATCATAAAAGGAATGCATTGTAGTTTTCAATACTAGTGGGATTTATGGTGGATCACAGCAATTAATCTTTTCATAATGGCTAGTTTCTGCAAGGCATGCTTGCAAACAAATGATATTAAATTTGCTAGCTGAGCAACTTGCTCAGTAAAGAGTGTAAGAAGAATATGGTATTTTGCTAATCAAGTGATCATGGCAAATGTTGATGTGTTAATAGATAACTGAAATTGTAATTTTTTTGTATTGGTAATTTAAGTCCTAGAGTTCTTCTGACTAGGCCCTAATGGCAAAATCAATTCTTGATTACTTAAATCAGGATTTCTATTACCAGGACACACTTTACAACGCTAAAAATCACTTAAGTGAATCTGTCACAAATAGGAGTATGACAATTAATAGTGAAAGAATTCTATCTTTATCTAGATATAGCTATATCTTCAAGTCAAGTTTGATTCTTGATGACTGTATAGATAAGTTGAGGCAATCTTCCCTCCTGGCAACATTTTGGAAGTGTTTGCCACTGCCTTCTTTTTGAGATTTGGCGACAGTGATAGGCATTAAAGTTATCTAACTGGTTTTGTGCCTAAGATAGGACTGTAGATTATGTGTGTGTTTGTAATAGATAGATAAATCTACATACACACATAAATATATTTTATATGAATTTTGCATTTTTATTGCTCTAGTAAAAGATTCAGAAGCTTCTAATAATTGAAATCAAGGAGGAAAATAAAATAAAAATGTCCTAACTTAAAAATCAAAACCCTAAGAGACTAAAAATAAACTCAAGCACCAAATTAATAATTACAGAAAATTAGATCCTTAACCCCCTTCTTAACTATTGCTACTGAGCACAAATTAACAACAACCCTTCTGTTTCAAACTTAACTACCCCTAAACATATGTTCCAGATTTTTGTATCTTCATAGCAAAGGGTATTCACTCTGGTACCCCTAGGTGCTTTCTCCTTGATGGTGTTAATAGGGAGATGTAACAAGGCCTTCTTCCAAGAACATCTCAATTTCAGAAGCAGAATAAGCAAGTAAGTTGATGTATCTGTTCGGATATTGAAATTGAAATGGTTGTTCATATACTCATGGTTTGGCCAATATATCAGTGAAGAAATTGGACAGCAGGACTAATAACCTCTCTAACTGCAAAATATTCATGTTGCACTAATAGAAAAATGTGGTTTTTCTCACTTTTTATTCCAAGAAAATGGCTAAAATTTGACTGTTGTGTCGCAAGCCATTAGACTTAATTGGAACTTACATACTGTAAAATATGTAATTTATCATCTTCAGTTATTGTACTCAACTCACATCCTTTTTAATTTGTTTCTTTTTAAATTATATTAATGGTTACTTCATCTTTATGTTATTTTAAGCTGCTGCTTTTTGGTGTAATAAAGCATATCAGTCTAAAACACAAGATTCCAGCACAAAGAATTAGGTATACACTGGGGAACATGCAGCTTTTTCTAATATATTTAGTGTGTATTGCTTTCAACTTTCAAGTTTATATTGCTTTTCAACAAAGCTACCTCAAATAACAAAAACACTGTAAGAACACTCAAATAACAAAAACACTCAAAGAATTGAGGTATATCATCATCATCATCCCTTTTTGTATCTTTTTAACTCCATCATAATTTCAGGTACTATTACCTTCTAGCTAGAATGAGGAAGAGACAGACTGACGAGGTGCAGTGTTATAGTTCAATAGTAGAAACAGATCCTAAATTGGAAAATTGCTGACTTGCTACTGAAATACGTATGACCACAAATCTGATCTTGGTACAGTCAATTTAACCATTGGCCAGCTTGGAAAAGGCTGGCCTTTCATATAATTTGCAACACTTTACTTTTTCCATCTTAGTAGCTATAAACTGAAATTGACAGAGTTAGATGTCCATGTGAGGA